TGTGTGTGTGTGTGTGTGTGTGTGTGTGTGTGTGTGTGTGTGTGCGCAGTGACAAACTGCTGACATTGCCAACTTTGTTTACACCTTGGGGACACTTCCTGTCCACCTGCTCATCATATCTGTGACATCACTGATGATCCACTTTGATGTTTTAGTTACTCTGCATGTTGTTCATCACACATACGCACACAGCTACAGCAGCGTTGTTTGTTTGTGTGTGTGTGTGTGTGTGTGTGTGTGTGTGTGTTCAGGCTCTACAGGACAAAGTGTGTGACTTTCAGGCTCGTCTTCGGTCTGAAGAAGTCTCCCGTCACCTGCTGCTCCAGCAGCTAAAGGAGCGGAGCATCCAGGAGGAGGCGTGTCTTCAGCGGCGGTCCGAGGACAGAGCTCAAGGTATCGCTGAGGATGATGATGGTCAGATCAGTGTGAATCTGTCCATGTGGTCCACCGTCAAACAGGAAATCATCTCCACATAAAACAACTGATGATTAAAATACAGAAAGAAATATTTTACAACGATTCACTCATTGAAACATTTTATGGAAGAGCTGAACCTCAAACCACTTTTCATAGAAAACCAGTTTAGAATATAATAGTTAAATATCATGGTGACTGCCCTCTGCTGGTTGGTGTAGGTGTGAGGGTCTTACAGCTGTCAGATCGTCTCCGCTGTCCAGAAGAAGAGCAGCTGGTTACTCGGCTGCGCACACAGGTATGTTTACAGGACACACATCACGCCTGTACAGCTGCTGACAGAATCTGTGTTCAGTGACGTGTTTGAACTTTGCTGCTTCCTACATTTCATTTCTTTACAATGACTGAAAATAAAGAAAACAAATCGTAAATCTGTGAAATGTTTTTCCACTGACTAAAAATTGGCAGTTGGATTTGAAAATATGAGAAAGATGAGGAGATTGTACCAAGAGCTGACATGTTGAGTGGTTTTTAAGGTGGAGGAGCTGGAGGAGAAGCTGTCAGATCAGACTCAGGTGGTGGAGAGACTTCGCTCTGAACTGGTGAGACCACATTCCTGAAGAACCGTGGGAACACGCACACACACCTATACAGACACACACAGAGGTAAGACAAGACCGAACGTTATACTTTGAGGTGTGTGTGTGTGTGTGTGTGTGTGTGTGTGTGTGTGTGTGTGTGTGCGC